AGCCGTTTGGAAGAATGTGCCACACAGTGCGTTCTTCCAAGCATGTCAGCCAGCCTTCCACCAGTCTACAAACCCCGAGGTAGTCAGTGTATAACCATGGAAGGGCTGTTTCGTCCCCCATTTTTGGAGGTTTCAGTCCCTGACCCAATCTCTAACCTGGGTAGGACCCCACGGCGTCCTGCACGCCATACCTATCAGCACTGGGCTACCTAATGAGTTGGCACCTTTCGTTTGCACTTCGAAAGGTACAAGAAAGGTTTGCATGCTCTGCGGCCAAAGCTGTAGCCGTTTCTCATTAGGTTACGGAAAGACACAAGAAAGGACACAGGGGATGGGTGACTAAGAGCTGTGTGCATGCAGCAGCCGCTTAGAGGGACCCTGTGGCTCACAGAATGACTGAGGAGACCCCGGAGGACCTGAGCACACAATGTTTCCACCTCGTTGTCTTTACCCCTTAGAACAAGGGGTGCTTTAACCCTGGGCAAGTTTTATTCCACAAATGGAGTCTTGCTCCAAAAGAGCTTAAAAGGATGAGCTGTTGACACTGGTGTTTTCCCTTTGGGTTGCAGGCCACCCGGGGTGGGCGGAGCTTGAGGCCTGACTGAACACACACCCACACAGGGTGTCCCCCACCAGCAGAAAAGGGGCCTGGGCAACGTGTGGGGACGGCTAGTGACACCTGGACACCTCTGTGCTCTGCAAGTGGTGACACAGACCCTCTAGAGAAAGGCGAAAGCAGTACATGGAAACAGCCACGCGCTGTCGCGCATGAGCAACGCGGCTGACCCATCTCTGAAGATGAGGTCTCTGTTGTGAGCCTTGTAGCTGTGGGCTGGTGGGCACCATCCCTGACATCAGGCCGTCTTCTTGGGAGGGATGAGATTTGATCAGGTAATGGCAGACATCACAAAAGGGGGTCTCAGAACTGTCGTCACCCCTGCCAAGAGAGCGAGAGAGACCTGAGGAAACCAAGTCTAAAGTAGAAGGGACAGACACACACTGAAACTGTAAGGTTTTCCCTGATACTCTTTCTGCTGTGTCTTAACGGCAGTTTGCTCCTCGAGTCAGTGAGGGATGTGGACACAGATCACCGGTGACTTTGACGCCCTGGGAGTCTTGTGCCCAGAGGCAACTGCCTGAACCTGAGTACCCACAGCGGGGCCGTCAGCCATGGAGCCAGGTAGGCACTTTCCCCGGGTGGCTCTTTCTCAGCATCACTTAAATCCAATGTGTGCTCCGAGACCTCAAACTGTGACGGCCACGGAAGTACTGCCCTCTTTTGCCAACGATATTTATGGACAGGCTACCCTCCACAAATAAGTTGAAGCTCCCTGAGTAAAATCCCCATGATCTCCTCAGAGAATGGCGCTGGCTTACACGATTCCCTTCTCCTCCTTACCTGCCAGGAGCATAAATCTTCCCGGTCTCTATGCAGCATCTGCTTGATTTGCTCTACACTCGTGGCCATGGGAGCCCTTGGGGTTCAATTACAGTGTCTTCTAATTACGGCCTCTCCAGGTGCCACCACTAGCACGTGGCAGCTTGGAGTCCACTACATTTGGTTAGGACTTGTGATCTCAGGTGCAGCCTAACTGAGCTGTGGCCCCTTCGGGGTGACCAGGCCCTTCAAGGTCAAGGAGGGGGTGTCCTTGTGGGTGTTCCCAAGTTCCTCATCTTCACATCAGCAGTGACCTGGGACAGGAGGAGAACAGCAGCGCCCTTCCCCAGGGGATGTGCCCAGGGGCAGGTACTGGTGTACATCGACTTTGCAGGGCTCAGCTGGGGACATTCTTAACCCCTTTCAAGGTTTTCTGAAGTCGCTGTATGGAGAAAGAGATATGGGTAACCTTTCTGCTCCATGAAAATACCAACAGAGCCAAGGGGAGCCTTTTCAACAGCCAGCCCCCATACTATGCCACCCAAGAGGATCCGCTTTCAAGATCCCAGATCTTATCGAGAGGCCACAGCAGCTGGTGTCTGGGAGAGAAATCGTCTTGTCCCCCTCCACAGCACATGCCTGTCATGTAGGCCCCTGTGGGGTGGGTCATGTTCCAGAGTCCCCAGGAAACCAAGTGTCACGTCTCCACAGTGAGGGAATGTTGGTGGCCCACTGTAACCAGCACTGGACAGCGCAGGATGCCAGGTTAAGGCAGTCCTGGCTACAGGTAACAAGGTTTGGCTGAGCAGCCATGAGAGAGGAAGAACATTTCAGACAAATGGACACCTGGCAAAAAGTCCCATTTTCATGGGTGGTCAGGCACCAAAGAGAGGCAGGGACAAAGACTGTCTCTTCCGTTCTGACATCCCCTGGGTAGAGACCAAGAGGGCCTCTGACTCCAGGGTTGGGCTTGGTCTGGCTGATCCTGCTGTCTTCTCGGCATCAGGCTCCAGAAGCAGATGGTCAGAAGTGGCTTCCCACCAACATGCTTTTCATTCCTCATGTCCCTTATACTTGTCAGCTGAGACAGAGTGAGGAGAGTTTCATGTTGAACATACCAAACAGAACCAGCAGAGCTGAGACCAGAAAGACAGACCATGGTGGTTCTCCAGAGCTGACGAGTAAACCCCAAACCCAGCCCCAAGGTCACAGAGGATATCATGGCTAGGGCCACATGCCTGGCTCAGAGATTACAGTGACTGGCCAAACTTGCTCTTTCCCTAAGAACAAGGTGTTCAATGCTGCTGATGGGGTCCAGAATGCTTCTTCCATCCTGAGCTGGGAAGATGATTTGGCCCCTCCCTTCAGTGTGACCCAGTGGCTCCACAGTCTGGAGAGTGGCATTCAGAGTGGAGACCCCCTGCCTGACACAGACCACATGTGTAGCCTGTGGGCTACAATGAAACAGTAAGCGTGAACAGCCTGATGCCCAGAGCCGCTAGTGACTGCATTGGCCCACACTGGGAGGGTGGGGAAGTACTGACAAGCAATGAATAAGTATGCGGGGTTTGGGGAATCCTTCCTCACCTAATTCTCTGCTCCCAGGAGCAAGCCAAGGTCTGTTTGTAGAATGCAAATAAAGTGCATGCTCCCTGGCTGCCTCCATCCTGTGAAGGTGAGGAGGATGATCCTTGCAGAGCAAAGGGGGAATAAGCCATGGAAGCATCAATCTGCCTCTATACTTGAGAACCACATCTGTCCCCAACCCGAAGAAGGCGGCTCCATCCTGAGCCTTGTGGCCATGGGCTGGGTGCCATCCACTGAACAAAGGACCTTCTCACAGAATTAGGACACAGGGTAACAGCAGCCACTAAAGAAAGAGTTTTCGTTGGTACACCAGTGTCCTGTAAGAATGGTGTGGAGGAAGGTGGAGACCAAGTGGGGGCGAAAGAGACATGAACTCATATTCTATATTCTTTTGCAGCAAATGGTTCCTGATCTGCCTTATTTCCAGGGAAGTATGTCCATGGTCATGCCATAACAAAGCAAGCCAGGCCTCTGGAAAGCACTTCTGGCCATCCCAGAGAATAACTCTGTCTCCGCTCTGGGGCCAGGACCTGGCTCTGGATTCTTCTCACTCATTCCCAAGAGTGAAACAGAACTGCCCTCCCTTTCCAGGCTCGGCTTTATTAACCTGGGGCAGAGCCAAAGGTCTCCCAGTGGACACCCATACACCAAAACCTGTCCCAACCCCCCAGCCAGCTGACGCTCAGGGTCACTGGCCATGAGTCCATGTGGGGCCACATGGGAACGACAGGGTGGTCAGGTTCTGGAACAGGAGGCCAGGCAGTGGCTGGCAGTTGATAGCAGGGCCTTCATGACACACGAGTGGGAAGATGACTTAGCCACTCAGTATGACCCAGAGCTCCACAGTGAGCGGGAGATTGACGTTCAGAAAGAAGGCCCGCTGCTACTGAGGACAGCTCACACCTAGCCACACCTCAGGGGTTCCTCAGTCTTCAGAAAAGAAATCCAGGGCCACCTTTCCCTCCAGTTTAGGGAGGACCAGCTCAGCCACCTGATATCCCTTTCCTTTCACTTGGGCAGATGCTCAGATGAGGCCACAGAAACACAGCCTCTGCCAGAAGCAGGCATGTGGCGGATTTAACATGACTTTCATTAATTAATGTGAATCAGTGATCACCACAGATTAACTCCCCCGCTGACTCAGGTAGCTGATCCCCACCCAGAAGGTGCCCAGGAGAATGACGCAGACACCCTTGCCGCACAGAGATAAGTGCAGAGATCTCAAGATCCCCCCCTAAGGGGGGGGGTAATCCCTAAGGTGGGCACCGGACTCAATGGAATCCCACAGCTGCCAGCCTTTTGAAAGCAATGCTGGGTCCCAGGCCTGGGAATATCTACTTACCTTGCCTCACTGTAACAGAAAAATCTCAAAAGTCTAGTCAAACAAAGTCAAAAAATGCCTCCATGGGATAGGAAGAATTCTACCAGTTTCTGGAATCCTGGCACAGAGGACCAGCACCTTTGGTGTTTAGGAGAAGGAGGCTGTGGGCTGTGAAAACAAAGACATAAATGTTACCAGATCATCCCAAGGCTTGGATCAAGAAGGAGGAGGCACCAGTGAAGTACGGGGCATCCCTTTTATTCAGCTTCACACTGTCTTGGCACCCCAGAACAGGGGCATGTTTGCAAGGCAGCATCGTACAGATACACCCTGGCACAAGCTGGAATCCACAAGAAAAACACCCTCTTCTCACAGGTACCTGCAGAGGGCATGAGGGCCATAACCCTTTCAGAGACCCCCCCCACACACACACACACACACACACGGGTACCGTACCCTGCACCTCCTTACTCTCCTCTTCAGGGGAAGTTTGCTCCTGCTCCTATTTGTCCAACCTCCCACCCCCATTCAAAACACTCATCCCTTTCCTCCCAGCCACCTGACTGAAATTTCCTCTGAACAGGCTCTCTCTCTTTTGCTCATGCCCTTCCCGCTCCTGTCTTCTTCCCTTTCTTTCTGTCTTCCCGTTTGCCCCTCCCTCCTCTTCTCTCCTCCCTTCACAGCCAGGCACCATCCCGCTGGGCTTACACCGTTTCTGCACTGGTCAGTGATGGGGCTGGTGCGGATGAGGGGACAAGCTGGTGAAGGCCCTGAGTCCAGTGGTGACACTCAGTTCTCTCACTGTGGGTGCTCCATCCCACCCGTTCTGCAGAGGCTGGAGGGATGTAGCTTCATGAGGTGGAAGCCATGCGGAGCACGTCCTTCTCCGGGAAGATACTGGGGACACAGTGAACTAGAGGAGGGGGGAGCTGTTAGCTCAGACCCAGCAGCGAGGAGGAGGGGAGGGGAGCTTGCACCCTGACTCCCAAGGGTGTCTGAATGGCAACTGGTGTTCGAGCGTACAGATTCCTGGGATTTTGGCCTGGATTCTTCCTGAAGCTCTCAGTCTATACCAGCCTGACCCTAGCCCTGTGGTTTGATGACCACAGAACTGGGCCTGTTCTGACTCCTTGAAAAAGGACACAAGAAAAGGACTCTGTTAGTGGCTTTGACACAGACAGGACTTGGCACTGAGCTACTTTGCTCTACCACAGCTTTCCACCTGATTCCTCACACCCGGGCCAGTGCTCCCTTTCCCTGAGCCCTCTTCCCTTTTCTCTCCTCCCTCACCCCCTATTCACATCCTCTGCTCTCTGCTTCTGGCTCAACTTCCCCAGAGTTCACATTAGGGGGATGCAAGGAAAAAGCTCCTTCTAGGGTCACAGACACCTGCCGGGTTCGTGCCCTACGCATGGGTTCAGCCTGTCAGTGGGAAGGGGCATTTAAAGGGCAAAGAGCAAATTCAACAGTTTGGGCTGGGTGGCGTTGCCTACGCTGGAGTTCCCTCGAGCGCACACTTTCCTTTCCTTGTGTTCTCTTACCTGGGAAATGTGCTGTTTTCCTTTGAGACAGAGAGGAACAACATAGAGTATGAAGTAAACAAGGCACCTCCTCACCTCCTTTCAGCCCCTTCGTCTAGGGGCGCTGGAAACTGTGGGTGCCACCTGGGGCTGGAGCTCCCCAGTGATAGGACACAGCAGGTTCCTCGGGGGACCTGCCCCTGTCATTTTCGTCTTTGGTTTTCCCATCCTGGGGAGGGTCCATGGAGGCTATATCATCAGGTGATGTTTCGCTGGGTCTCAGTTCAGAGCCAGCATCCTCCATAGTGTTGTGGCTGTCAACAGCGTCCACAGCAACACCTTGCCAGGCTGGTTAAAAGGACAGGCAGCACTGAAGGTCAGGTAGGCTGGACCTTGAACACCCTTGCTCTTTCCTTTCTCATCCACCTCCTGCAGTTGGTTCATCCCAGATGAGAGTAGGAGGGAGGCGGACCTGTAGGGCTCATGTTTGAATGGCACTTCGCAAACTTTCCTGTTGGACGAAAAACATGCCCCTGGCTTGATCAGTATTTCAGTATAGTGTATGTTACTGTGACATCATTATGTCACAGTAGGCTTCCTCTTTCCTACAGATCCCAAGATTTCTGAAACTCTGTAGCGCATGGTGCCATGGCTTCCCCAATCTTGGTGACTGGAATTATTGGGTCTATTTCTGTGAAAGCTGGTGGCAAAGTTTCATCACAGAGACACAGCCATGGGTTCCCCATGAGCTGGCCTGTGGTTGTCCTGGACCCTGACATCCAACAGGCAAGTAGGATATAAGGGTTTCCCAGTCTTTCACATGGTTGGTGACCTTGGGTGCCCTTCATCATTTGGTGCACACCTGAAGGGTTCGGGCCCTTCTCTAGTGTAAACCCAGCAATCGCAGTGTAAAGCAGTGTGCTGAGGAAGTCTGCGGTAGCCTGTACCCTCTGGTGCTAAGTAAGAATGTGTGTGACAAGACTTCTTCTACAGAAGGCCATTCCCAAATTACAGTTTCATCATTTGTACACTGACTTCAACCCCCATCTATGGATTCCAGCAAAGATCTCACCTTTCTGGGAGGTATGCTGTTGGCTTCAAGCATCTCAAGATTTCTCAGCAGTATTTGGTGCTAGGGTTGCGCTGGCCCTAGGGGCTCTTTTTACGTGCCTTCCACAAGTATGTCAGTAAGCCTTCCATCACTAACAGATCCCCAAGCTCAGCTTTTTGGCAGAGAAGGTTTATTTGGGCTCAAAGTTTTGGAGGCTTCAGTTCACACCCCATTTTTTTTCTTTCTTGAGGGCTGAAGTGACACATCATGGCCAGAGCATGCTGCAGAGCAAAACAACCCACTTTACAACCAGGAAGCAAAAGGAAGAAAGAGGGTGAAAGAAGGAGTAAAACATTGGGATTCTGCAGTTCTCTCTCATCAAATTCCTACAGTGACCCCCGAACTCTCTCACTGGACTGCAACTCCCAAAGGCTCTCACACCTCAAACTAGCATCGAGTGACAGACTGAACCTTCACTACTTGGACTGGATGAGACATTCTACATCCATGCACAAGCAGTGGCTCCCAGGAGGATGGGTGAGATGCCACCTTGCTTTGTCCCTCCTGCCCCGAGCGGTTCTAACACTCTTGGCAGGTGGACTTACAGCAGAGGTGACAAGGTCGTAGAAGAGCTAGCTGCCAAGGGTGCAGTGCTCTCTGACACTATCTCTGAGGTGCAGGCAGGCTCCTGGCCTGCTGCTCTCATAATTCTGTACCCAAAGAATCCAACACAGCTGCTTTTGGGGAAGCCTGAACACACCCCTCTAGGTTTTTGCCTTTTGTGTGACAAATTGTGTTTTATTTCCGTTTCTTCTTCCCTTGAGAGTGGTTGACTTCCCCTAAATATGAAAGCTGAGGTCAATTCTGCTTTTAAACCAATAAAAGATCAGTTTCACGTGAACATTGCCCAGGATCAAAGGAGCCACGAGCAAAGATTAGGGACCCAGGCTTTCACTGGACGTGAAATGGGTCAGCTGAGGATTTGCCTGGCTCAGACATAGTGCCAACTTCTGCCTGATACAGCTTTCTACTAGACAGCCTGAGCTGCCGAGTCAGAGGACAGTAGTCTGTGTGTGGTTCCTGGGGGTGGAGAAAAGGCCTGTTTCTTAAACTCTCTATTCCCAGGACACACATTGCTTCAGGCTCCACAGCATCCAGTAGGACAGCTGGCGCCATCGTGTTGGGCCACTCCACTGGGTCAGGAAGTATGAATTAAGGAATCAGAACACTTGCATTGGCCTAGGGACAATCTTAGGGACCCATCCCAGTTCTGTCTCATCCCTTCATGGAATGGAGATAGTCCACAGCATCCACAGCCCCTCTAAAGACTAAAGTAAGAAAGAGACAGGCAGGGAGTCAAACAGCACATGGTGCTGTGGGATACACACACACACACACACACACACACACACACATACACGTAGGTGGGTTTTATTACTCCTGTGATAAAGAGCACTGATTTGGTGAGCCCATCTGAGAAGTGACTGGGACGGTAGGAACAGGAGTTCAAATGAAACCCAGCAAGCGAGCTCCAGAAAAACTGGGCTCCAGTTCTAGTCCTGAGTGGTTCCTCCGATCCTTAAGGACACCCACAGAGATAATCAGCTCCCCTGGAGTGAGCTCTCAGCTGCTCTTGGCTCTCAGCTGCTCATGGCTACAGCACTCAGTTCTGAGCTGTCCCCCATTTCCCAGCAACAGGGCTCACACCCACAAGTGGTGCTCTCTGACAGGCACCGGTGCAGCTGACAAAACAGAGCACAATGAGTGATCACATCTTGTCTCCAGTGTCCTTCACCTTCTCTAGAAAGGACGAGACAGGAGGCAGAGACATCTCCCCACCCCACCCTTTACACATCTGTGCATGGAAACTGTGATCTTGCATTAGAAGCCGACTTGCACCATGGAACCTCTCTCTGGCCAGGCTTCCTCCTGTACACATCATCTCAAAGCCCTTGTCTCTTGTCCCTTGTCACTAATTGTTTGCTATCCTGGGCAGCTGCCAAGCCCCAGGGAACATGCCTTTCCACCAGGTAAGATCCCACGTAGCCTAAATCTGTGTCAGTAAGTGATGAAGTTGCTGGGCTGCCCCACCTGGACTCTGGCCATCATAATGAGCCCTATGGGAGAATGAAGGCCTTGCTGTCCAGTGGGTACTGTTCAGAAGGGCAGCTAGGGCCAATGTGAGGAGAGGCTCTGGACTTCTTGAGCAGGAGCACCTCTGTTATAGGAAAGACATCCTCACCCAGGGTTCAGATTTGTGGGTCCCAAAATGCTGCCCATAAACAATGTGGTGACAACCCCGATCTAGAGTTTGGAGAACTGCCCTGCCAGATGCCTCACTCAGCCACCCTGATGGCTGCTACATTTCTTTCTGCTGTGACAAAAGGCATGCAGCAGGAAGGACTATTTTGGCTCACAGTTTGAGGGGATACAGGCCATTGTTGTGGGAAGTCAGAGCAGGAGGCAGAGAAGGCCGGGGTAGTAGCAAGCCAGCTGCTCTCACAATGCAGAGAGCATAGCTTGAAGAGAAAGTGGTGCTGGGTTATAAACCCCAAAAGCCCACCTCTGGTAACCCATCTCCTCTAGCCAGGATCCACCTCTGAAAGGTTCCACAACATTCCAAAGAGCACCCCGTCAGGAGCAACGAACTTTCAAATGCGTGAGCCTGAGGGTCAGTTCACATCCAAATCACAACAGCATCCTTCTCCCTCGCTTTGCTCCTCTATTTTAGAAGCAGCATGCTCCTCTACTCAGGGGTTCAAGGCTACTCAACACCACAGTTGGGCCACGAGAGGAGAAAAACCAAAGAGTAGATTTCGAGTTAAAACAGTCCATGGTTAGCACACTGTCATGTCTGCCAAGTAGAGCTGAGGAGCCTCCTGGGAGGAAAACCCTTACTCCAGTGCCTCTTGCTGGAACCAGGTTCTGTGGAGAAGAACACATTGTGCAGGGTTCCGCCTGCAGGCCAGTCACATCCTCCTGGGCGTCTCGTGTTTCCACCCATCAGCCTTTCCCCAAGAATGACTCATCCTGGATTTAGTAGATACAGGAGCACAGAAGGCACTCTAAGCACCCACTGCTTGCTCAGGGGGCAGGGCATCCAGACCTTCACCTGCACACCGGCCGAAGCAGGCTGTACCTGGGGAGCATATGGTGTGGAGCAGAAATGGGAGTCACTCCCCGCTTTTACAGGAAAAGCAGAAGCGACAGCTCCCCTCAGGAGCCAGCACTGCAAACATCCCTTGTACCTGCTCTTTATCTGCAGCCGGAAGGCAAGCTGCCAGCTCAAATGAGAATACTGCATGAGTACCAGGCGTTTCTATTCTGGCGCTAAGAGAAAACGGGGAGGAGGAATAAGTGCCTCTACGGCAGCACAGCTATACGTGTGTGGTCCACAGCCCATGCTGTCAGCAACAGGAGAGACATTTTGTACCGGCCTGTACCCGGGCTGGCTCAGCCCACTCCTGTTCTGGGGACAGAGTGGTCGGAACACAAACCCTTGGGATCTGTCGGTACCACTTCACTTGGAGGAGGCCCGTCTTCCTCACAAATGGGTTTGCTGCGCTCTGCAAAGTCCAAGAGGAAAAGCAAATGTTCCAGCCTGGGCTCCAGCTTCCTCTCTTCTCTCCAAAGCCCTGTTACTTGTTTTTCTGTACCTGTATGTGCACAAGTATGCATGCATATATGTACCTGTGTGTGCATGCATGCGGCATGTACCTGGGTATGCGTGTGAGTGCACGCATGTGTACACGTATATGTATGCACATGAGTACAAGCGTGTGTGTGTGTGTGCTCATGTTGGTGAGTGCACGTGTGCAAGCACCATGAGACACAGGCCAGAAGACAGCCTCCATTGTTAGTCCTCACCTTCCACCTTGCTTGAGGCATGCTCTCTTGGTGTTCACTCCTGCTCATGTCAGGACAGCTGTCCTGGGAGCTGGCAGGCATGCCCTGGTCTCTCCTATCTCAGTGGTGCTGGACATGCCTGCTACCACTTCAGGTTTCACGTGGGTTCTGAGGATGCAAACTTAGGTCCTTCGCTTGAGCTTCACCCATCACGCTACTCCACAGATCAAAGCCCTAACTGTTCCCGTTCGCACATACACAGCCTTGACCTCAGGTACCCCCTCCCCATGACGTTAGCTCCTTTCTCTCATCCCAGCACGTGGGGAATCACCCCATGGCTGTGTTTCCTCTGCCTCCCACCTCTTACCTCCGTCTGGATGAGAGGCGGGAGTCTCCAGAAGCCTCTGTGTCCCCTTTCTTGCTCTTTGCTGTCCCTCTGTCTAAGAGCATGGTTTCTCTCCTCCCCTCTCCTGGCTCTGCTTAAGTGAGGAGTCATCACCAGCCTCATTCTCAGAAGACTACAGAACAAACCTCAGAGTCTGTCTCTTCCACACAGGGAACACAGGCCTTTCTCTAGGGACCATTCTCTCTCTGTGCAGGTGCTCCCTGCCGCAAGGACACCTCGGGATCCCCAGACTGTCTGTGGTCCACCTGCTCACTCACGCTGTCCCACCTCCTACTTCATTCTCTCATAGCTGCATGTTGATCTAGCTTAAGTGGATTTGCTTGGGTGTAGACATGTTTGGTTTGCATTGCAGGGAAAGGCTAGGTGTGTCTGTGTGTGTGTAACTTTCCTTTCACACAACATACATATACACATATATCTGTACACACGAGTATGTGGAGAAAGACACACAGAGAAGCAGGAAAACAGAGACAGAAAAGAGATAGACCTTGCTGAAGTCACTTTCCTTCTTTTAGACCTACCTTTCCTGATGTGAACAAGCAAGTTTTTATTCTTCCTCCAAGCCTCTAAATTCAGTCTGATGTAAAAACCAAAGAATGTTCTAAACAGCCTTAGACATAGGAGGAAGTCCAAGCCGTGGACAGACACATTCCCATAGGCACACTCAAAAGAAGAGCAAGCACCACACAGCAGAACTAGGTGATACATGCTGAGAGGGAAACAAGAAAGGCACCAGGGAGCTTGTCAGGAAAGCATGTATGATCTCGCATGAACTTCTCCACCCCCACTGTCCATCCCTCCCTTGGTTGCCTCTCCATGTAATATAACTGCCACATGTCATAAGGGGTTCCTGGCCAGGGGAGAGGAAAGGAAGGGAAGAGCCAAGTTTCCAGTGGTGACAAAACCATTCTGCATTTGACTATGGCCTGTGACTATATCATAAAGACCCCACAGAGTACCCTCCTGCTGACACCAGCACCAAATAGACTTCATTCCACCATGCTAGACACTTGACTCTTTACCCATCTA